TTTTCCGACAACCCAATACTAAGAAAAAAAACTTGGGTATTTGGAAACACAGCACTAAAAGTCAAGAAGATTGCAAGATTTAATTATCTGTGATCTGGATTATGGATGGGTATATTAGGGCATTATAATAGACTAAAGAAAAAGATTTCATTTGGAAAATTCTCAAATTGAAGACTTTAAGAACAAAACACTAGACATTTTCTAGATAAGATAACCAAGCAAAATTATGTTTTTGGTAAATTCAGGCCACCTTCATGAGATTTTTACCAGATACAAACATTATCATCACAAAGTCACTCTGTAGACACATGACCACATTAAGAAATTGGACGCCACCTAATTGTACTAGAGAGTGACAGATTTTCAGGATTAAAGTCTTTTATAAATAGGCATGTAGCCCCTGTTAACTTTTAAAACCAATATACTGGAGTTGAAAATCTCTCAGGCTGAGAAGGATCTCTGTAAAGCAGTTTCATAATAGACTAGAGATACCATCAGACATCAGAGATTAGTCTGTCTCCTTCATTTGGGAGAGGGCCAAGAAATAATTTAACACAGGCTTTAGATGATACTCTGGAAAAACGAAGTTATCTAATTATAAGGTGTGATACCCAGTTGGTATATCAAATACGTATTTCAAATTTTAAAAAAAATTGGGAGAAATCTGGCAATGCTCTGAAATAATCGCATATAACCTATAGCGACACAGTTATGACTGGGAATCACCTGAAATAGTTCATATAAAATTAAAACATAAAACAAGGTTTAATTTATACAGCGCTATAATTTTAATGGTTCCAAAATACATGAAAAGTTTTCACTCTCCTTCCATATGATTTTGAATTCATGAAGTTGTAACTAAAAAGCACTTTTATTCCTAGAAAATTGTCAAACTTCTGTTTGATTCATATAGTTATCACTGATTATTTGCAAAGCCCCACTTACTTCGTACTGGGTCGAATTTCTTGACCGTTTTTATACCATTTCACCTCCAACTTTGGATCTGCCAGTTCCACAACGAACCTTACCCTGCCTCCTTTATCAATCTGATATGCAGGGTCAAGAATTTTTGCAAAAGCTAATAGAGAGAAGAAGCAAAACTATGTTAATATGTAGATACAAATGCTATGAATTTAAATAATCAATATATGTACGAGAACCTAACACAAAATGGAAAATTGAGACTTGGAAAATAAAACAATTTGGAGCCTTTCAAATTATCATGTATGTTTTAGAATTCTGTTGATTTATATACAAGATGGTTAAAATTTTTAAAGAGAATCCACATGTTTTTGGAAGAAACATAAGAAAAGAATTACTGAAGGGCTTTAAAAAATGATTGTCCTATACCCGAAACTAATTTAAAAAAATATATATATATATAATAAAAAATAAATAAATAAAATAAAATAACTTAAAAAAATATAACTCTCCTAATCCTTCAGGGAAATGTATGATATAAAGCATCTCAATGAAATTGAACTTGAAGAATATGCTTATCCTTCTAGCATGATTATTGTCAGAATCATTGATATTACTTTTGTACTTCTATGCCACACACAATTTTTTTATCATGGAATTTATGAGATAAATTCAACAACTCATAAGATTAAATTTAATGCCTTTGACTAGTGGAAATAGTAGGTTTATCAGAGTTTTTGTACTGTGGATATTTTCCCCAATAGTGGCATGTTTAAAACACCCTTCATGTATAATTGGGAACTCAGGATTTTAAAACATTTTAAATAATATAGAACATAGTGGTTTTTTAAAAATATTGTCTTTGAAAAGTCCTAAATAGAGGTCATTAACTTCTTTTTTTTTTAATTTCATAATTTTTCAGATTTCAAAGGTAATAATTCTCATTCAGATAGTTTGGAAAATACCCTTAAGTGTGGAATAACTGATGAAGTTGTCATGCTTGCATTTCCATCATTGCAACTGTATTAAACTATTGCTTAAACAAGCTCACTTTGTCGTATTTTAATAAGATAAAAGAAACAATAGCTTTAAAAAAAAGTTATCTATCACATACCTCAAGGCATCAGTTCAGAGGTAAGTGATAAGAATAAGAAACGTCATTGTGGGGGGAAAGAAATGTCATCTGGCTCCACACCTTAGAAGTCACAAATTTGTGACTCACAGTTTCAGACACCTCTCAGGAATAGAAGTTCAGGAGTCTGCGACAGTAGGAATGGCCGAGTTATGTAAACCAAACAAAAACAAGATACTTCTATAGTTCTCTGGGGCCATTTCTCAATCAGTTTACAGGGAGGTTTAGAAATAAAGGGCAGATTTTTTAAAAGAAGCGGTGGCCTTCTTTAAATTCTACTTGAACATTAACAAACAATAATAGGATTGATATGTTAACCTGATGTGTCATAAAACCAATAACTGACAATGACCAAGTATAGGAAGCTTGGAAGAGCTAATGATCAATTTAAAACGTATTTCTTTTTTCATTTTAAATTTCAACATCTCGAAGTGTTTTTTCTTTTTAAAGGTTTTTAAAACCACAACAAACTGCACCCACTTTAGATCTTCAGGGAGCAGCAAAGTGTTTTACAAAACACTTTGATAACCGTATTGGGTGTGAGATGTGAATTCCTTCTGCCCCATCAAATGGGTGCAAGGCTATGAAGGTAAAACAAGAAGTCATCGCATCTACTCTGCTTAAATAAGAATCAAGAATTTGACAGTGAGGGAGATATGGAGGCTGGAGAAAGAGGCCGCTGAGAAATTCCCAGGGACCGTGGGAATATTTTAGATTCCATAATACGCCGTAAGTGGTAATACTTGAATGTAATTCTTCTGTTATCCTAAACCTTCGGTAGCTGTCTGTAACTTACCTGCAGAGCCAGTGCTGAGCGCGGAAGTGAGCTACTTCACCTGGGGCCAAAGGTAGCTAAGAGAAGCGTAGCCCCTGCAAACCCCATCCCATCCAGTCCCGCCCCAAACCCAGGGGGAAAGAGGATCACCCGCTGGGGTTCACCGTCACGTCTTTCGCGGGCACAGGACGCGGCCCCCGTGGCCAGGCTTCCCGGTCCGGCTCACCTGCGCTCTTTTTCTCCACCCTGCGCATGCGTTTGAGCCGCTTGAGCATGCCGCGCAGGTCGGTGATGCCGTACTGGAAGGCGATCTTCTCGTACTCGTTGGGGTTCGCATTTTTCAGCAGGTCCCACACGTCTATCTCGGGTTCTTCCTCCTGCTGCTTCACCTCCCTAACCGGGGAGAACCATTGGCTAGTTTAGTAGCTGCTCGCTGGCTCTTAGACGCAAGGCAGGTCGCAGTGTGGTATGGGTTTTTCGGTTCAGTGTTAACAGCTCTGTTTAGTGCCTGAGTATTTAAACTAAGAAAGCCTACTAGCTTTGCTTGAAGTCTCAGAGAAACTTCCGGGTAGTTAAAGATCAGATACGTGTGCAGTTAGATTAACACTCTTGTTTTCCTAGAGAAAAACACAGCATTAGGCAGAGAGGAGGATATCAGGAAATATCCTGAAGATATTTTTACTTTTTTTCAATTGGAAAGTCTAGAAGGTGAGATTTTCAGGAACTTAAGATCAATTTTCATCTAGGATATGTGTATTGAAATAATTTTGAAAAGTAGATTAAGAACTAGAAATGTTAAATATTGGTCTAGGGAAGAAAAATGCGATCTTCCTTCCTTCATTGGCGTACACACGCTAGCTGTCTGTATATGGAGACAGTACAAATACAGAACACCAAACGTTCTGATTTTGCAGATAGCATATTTTCTTACCATGTGTACATTAACCATTTTTTTTGCTGTTTTTTTAATCCAAAAAATATTTGAAACTGCCACGATGGTTTTTTTTTTAATTTTCATATGATTTTTGTGACTACAAATGCCTTTTTAAAGAACTTTTTTTTCTAAATTGTCAAGGGGAAAGGAGAATGAGGTCAAAAATTTTTTTCATATTTCATTTTAAAGTACCATCTTGAACTTTTTTGAAAGGAGGTTTGATGTCAATCATAAAGATATAAATGTTAGCCTTAAAGCAAATGGTTAAGTGTTCCATGAACAAGGGGAAAGTAACTTCTTAGTGTACTTATCAAAATTATGACCCCAAATTTCAATCACTGACTAAAGAACAAATAAAGAACACATATAACTAAAAAAATAAGAGTTCAAGTACACTTGTATGCCCTTATTTTAAAACCAAAATATGAAACAAAAACTCAGGAATAAACACCCTTTAGGGAAAGAATCTTAGTGTAAACACAAAATATAATTTAAATTGATTTCCTTACTGGCTAAATAGTCCTGATTTTGTTTAAGCTTAATTCACCTTTTATCAGGTTAATTTGAAAATGTTATAGTGACTACTTACTGTGAACAATGCTGGTTTGAATATGACTTTACAGGAAAACTGGTCAAGGCATCTTAAACATCAGTGTGAAAACAGATTCATGCTATCATGTTAGCAAATGATGGATTACATATGTTTGCATTGTCACATGAGTTACATCTGTTTCGGAGTTTCTTGAGGAAATACCGGATTGTAATCAAGGGAAAAGGGAGGAGAATATAAATATTAACATAGAGTTTAGGGTGAAGTTAGGCAAGGATGACTTCTGAATATCTAATTTCCATTGTCATGTAAATCTTTTTGCCCCCTGGAGGAGGCTGCTGAGGCTAATCTGGAAAGTGGAAGGAAGCCAGAGGTCATGGGTCCATCGTCACCTTTGTGGGAAGGACTAAGCAATGCCATTAGGAAAATGTGCCTCTTCAAAACTCAAGACACAAGTATTACCTTCCTCTCACTGAAATAGCAACGCCCTCTATTAACGTGGTGAAATTGCTTAAGAAAATTGTCCTGAAGTTGGAATATTGGTAATAATTTGCCAGATCTACTAAATCTACTGCCTGAAGGCAGTTTAAATTTCAAATACAACTTTTAAATATTTTATAGGAAGTTTTGGAGGATTGCAATTAAAATGTGTATGTATGTACCAATGTATATGTTGTCTGGGGGTATTTCCTCAGTCCACTTTATTAGCGCTCTATTTTTTTCCATTCCAGTCTCAATAGAGTCCCCAAACTGTAAAATTATGCTATATTACACATTGTGTTAAATTTGTATTTCCCCCAAGAAGAATTACAACATACACATTTCAAGTATCCTCCTGACACTGGTGAAAAGATTTAAAGATATCAAACTGGATTAAAATAGCTAAAGTGAGACAAAATCAAACACTGAGGCATACCTAGATCCATGAGGTAAAGATTTATGTGATGAAAACCAGTAATAAAGATCATCATTTTCAGTAATTTCTCAGGTTTTGTTGGTAGAGTCATAAAACCAATCACCCTCATCATTTTTTTTTTCATTAGAACACCAAAATATACTCCACTCTACCATATTCTTAATTTTATCAAATTTTGCATGTAAACACTGAAGACTTCCTGGGTATTCCTTCCTTTTCGCTCCATCACTTAATTGAATTCCACATTGCAAGGTTGAAGTATTCCTCACTTTGTATTGGAATGTGAGGTCAAGACTCCCACCTGTAGCATTTCCTTACCTTATTCAGAACCACTGTGGCTACAGATAGCCTATCTGCATGGCTATGTTAATTTAGAGTAGGGAAAAATTCCAAATTCAGTATGTATTTTTGATTCTTTTCCAAACACTGGGATCGACCTAGATAGCCTTCACAGTACGTTCATCTACATCAAAATTTTTATAACTTGATGATCCTTGTGAAGTACAAAGCAGTTATAGAAATTTTATGTAGAATAAAACTTTCAAGTATTTATATAGGTCAAATCCCATAACAAGATGATGCCCAAAGATTTACTATAATTTAACTAATGTCTCTTTAAAGTATGCTGGCATTTTTCAGGGCAGGGAGATCTTTTGTTGTATGGAGATGTTGGTTGTAATGATACTTATTTAGATAGGGATTTTGCCATACCCTCTTAGAGAAGTAGAAATGGTAACCATGTGTCATTACCACCATGAAAACACATGCAATTCACAAATTAGTAGGAAAACACAATGATTTCTAAAATTATGTTGTGGATTAGTATAGTATATTAAGTGAATATAGTCTTATGTTAACAACAATCTAATTATGAACACGAATCTTAATTAAAGGATGTAAAGAAAATGAGAACTGGAGACATGTTGGCTGCCCATGTTTTCTAGTAATTTTTTTCTTTAGTCTTTTTTTATTAATTTCTTTAATTTTCACAATTAATTAGGTGATTTATTTTACTCTGCAAACTACTGTTCTCTTTTCCTTATTTTTCATTTTCAATCAGAGCATGACATTTAATAATCTACTGTATCACATTTTGATTGATCGTTGTGTGTGTATTTTGTCTCTTTATGAATATAAGCCCTTCAAGGGAAAATGTCACATTTTTGGTGGAAGTGAATATTTATTTGACTCCTATGAGCCAAGCCTTTTACATTTATTTAATTCTCACAATAATTCTATTAAGTAGTTTTCATTCTCTACATTTATGGATGTGGAAACCAAGTCTCAGAGAGGACATATAACTGGACCAAAGTTGAGACTCACGTCTATGTTTTTACCACTACCTTTTGCATCCCACAAATATGTATTCATCCTTTTCTGTGTGCCAGGCACTAGAAGGCACTGGATTTCTTTTCCTCATGTCACCTGTAGCATTATATTCTACATAAAGAAAATATTTAGTATTTTCCTGGTTGAGTAAATAATTGCAGGGAAAAACAAAAAACCTCTCTTGTCATGAAGTGTCAATTTATGTTATAAACTGAAGCATCAACTTTGAGGTCAATTCAGAGTGGTATTTCTTATATGGAGTCACAAGGTGAGCTGACTCAGAAAAGGGAAACTTGGATTTAGGTCCCTGACCTGCCTCTGACTAGGCTGTGTGACTTGGGGTAAGTCATTCAACATTTCTGATCCCTGGTTTCTCACCTGTAGAATGAGGAAGAGTGTGGCTCACTTAACGTCACTTCGAATAGTATTGCTTTAAGTAAATGTGGGGAATTAATAAATACTATTGAGGCTAATTATTATTTGAAGTATCCAAAGGAGGAAAGATATATTTGATACTGCCAAGGTCTATTGATTGACTAATATCCGTTGGTAATTAACAAATTGCACCTGTTAATAATTTTGTTCTTAACCTAAATGTTTAGAGCTCGGGTAATTTTTTCATCTGTTAAAACTTGAATAAAGTCATCCAACTAAACTAAGAATAACCACAAACCCAGTTATTACTATTTGTGATTTGTTGTGAGGCATATTTTTACTTTGTTCCTTTAATAACCATAGCAAACATAAATAAACATAAATAAAAACTGATATCAATATTATATATAATTAATTTAGAATTATAGTTTTACTCTTTATTCACAAATTTGCTAGATAAACACAATCCCAGCCAAAAACCAATTTCTTATTGTTGTTTCTACACTAAATATCTAGGTATGTATAACTTCATATATAATATCATATGTGACATGATTATATATATATGCAAATATATGGAAAGAAATCCTCTACATCGGTTATGTGCTAAATATCCATAATGAAATTATAGAAATTTTATTGCAAGAGAGAAAAATGTGAAGAGAATGTGAGTGATAATACTAAATATTTACTTCCATTTTATTACCATATTTTATCTCTTCTAAAATGCATATTTTAAACACCTCTGAAAGAAAGATGTACCTTGTAATCAATAATGTATCATAATAAACTATTTGGAGAAATTTTTATTGCTTAGTGATTTAGAAAATACTGGTATATCTTAAAATGAATGGTGTCTTAGATTTGGTGAAATACAGTAAATCATAAATGTTTTTTAAAGTAGGTCTGCCTTTAAATATATATACCTGCAGAGATATCTACCAAACTTGTGAAATTGATTTTTCGGTCAAATAGCAAAGGCAGGAGAATGGAGGGCTTTATTTATTCAATTATCACAGGGAATCACGATTCAAATGAGAGAAATCATGAGCGAAATCAGAGGTTTCTAGCTATTTAAGTCTTCTGTCTCAGTTTTCAATCTCTTTATCCCCAACTAAGAAAATATGATAAAACTCGTAAAACATTCCAAAAGAAAATGTTAAAGCATCAGCTAAAATCTCAAACAGATTAGTATGCAGTTGTTTGTCTGTCCCTTTCTTAGTCAACTCTGTTATATTCTATAAGCAAAACACATTTTAAGAAATGAGAAATTCTTTGAAACACATCTGCTTTAAACTTGACTTCTCTGAGTGGGCATTTAAAGATTTTCCAGCCACAGCGCCTCACTCCATCACTTGGCTCTCACCTACGTTTCAGGAGACCACTAAAGTCAAGTTCCCCTGCATCCTCTTGACCTTCTCCACTGTCATTAACAAGAGAAAAGCAAATCGGGGTTTAATGCTGAGACACATACACAAGTTTCCCCCAAACACTCTACATATAACGTATATGCAATGTTGGACCAGCACACAAGTCATGGGACTAAATCAACACAAACTCTTTCTTTTCACACAAGTGACATTTAAAATGTTTGGAATATGTACTTGTGGAAAAGAAAACATGAGGAGCTTGTGTCACTCTACGATTTCAGAAGACACGTTCTTGCAGATTGCATATATAAAACGGCTTGGATTTGTGTTAACACGGAGTAACACAAATGCACTTAAGCCAAACAACACAAAGTACTTTGTTTTTGCAAGTGGGGGGCTCTAGAAACATACCTGTGTGAAAAGCAAAGGACTTTTGCTGATCTCTGTTAGTCATGTCTAACAGAGATTGGCTTGGCGGCGAAGTGTACCAGTGTCAAATATATAAGTACAAAACTTATATTCAAAGGTAACCTCTTTGTGTCTGCCAACAGATGAGGCAGATAATGTGATACCAACATAACATAAAAATGGAGCTTTTTAAAGATGCATTCCTTTCTGTTTCAAAGGGAAATCATTATAATCTTTTCATTTTCTTGTTAATAGTTATACCTTGTAAAACAGATTCTTCAAAAATTTGTCTTTGAATTGTTGATGAGCCCTTTATTAGGAAAATTTGAAGGCTTTCCTATAGAGAAATGCATCTTGAATGAGGCATGCAGCCATCTTTGTGGTTTCTTATAAACACTAAATAGAAGCTATGGAGCTGACACTTAAATGGCACTGCATATTTACTTACACGTTTAATGTTTTAATGAAGATTTTGTTTCCTGCTCTTTACAAATGTAAGTTATGGTTTCTAAGGGAAGAGTCTGCTGGTTCAAAAACAGTGTGTGTAAAATGTTAAGTCATACGAATATAACTCAAATAAGGTGTTTTCAAAATTTCTTTAATAGCAGGTACTTGGAGAAGGCATTTTGAAGTAAACACATTTCTATTCCTTTAAAGCACAAAATTTGGTAGATTATGTTTCCCTCTCCTAAAATACACTGTTCATGGTATGAGCATAGTTTTGGACCTCTGCGTTTGCTGCACATGGGGTAAAGGCAAGGTGGAAGGAAACTACTGGGATTTGAAAATTACGACTTAGAAGAATACCAATTGATTGATCAGGTCATATTCAATATCTTTTTAAAGTAATTAAAAATTTCATTTGTTCATAACTTAGGAAAGAAATAATGACGTTTATTAACAGACTAAATTGTTGTTTTGTAATAGTTTGAGATGATTTTCCTTATTCAACAAAACTGTGTGTAGATTTAGTCATAGGAAAAACAAAATATTTGGTCTCATTAAGGAATTTATATTATGGAAGAATTAAGTACTGAGAGTAAAATAATGACAGGAAGGAGCTAGTTACATTTCTTATAGACTAGAAAAATGTTTTCGTTTTTCTTCCTTGACCTGGTTTTTCAGCCTTGGCAGTTGCAAAATAAATCAAATAGGTATCAGTATTTGCCTTTCTATAGGGTTTTTATTCAGTCTTGGTAGTCTTTCATTTAGGATAATTCAATATTTAAATAATGTTAACTTCAGTAGCTACTTAATTGTGGCTTTCTGGGTATATGGCTTAATGGCTTCATAATGTGATTTTTGAAATGAAAAGCAATATAAGTTTTCTGACATTACTTAACTGATGCTATATAAGATGTGAACCTTTATATATTTATCTTTTTTGACCATTTGATGGGAAATAATGCAATTAAGGAAGAAGCCAGATATGAATAGATTGAAAGTGTGTTCTTTTAAGGCAACTGTGAAACCTGCAAAAATGGAAGCTTCATTATAACAAGAATATTCTTAAGAATGGTCAGTATATACTTGATTTGGCCTTAAACCCATGGCTTTTCTAGAACACTAACTTTTGAATATATAGTATGTTTTACTACAGTTGAAGGAGTTGATCTCATTTGGAATATAGAGGGCGGAGGAGTGGGAAGTGTGCTTTGAAAATCCCCCACTTTCATTTTATAGAAAAGCTACCTAGATCCCCCTTTGAAGTTACCTTCTCTTGAAAGCAGATCTGATGTCAATGTTTGGAGTCGTCCCGGTAGATTCTTTAAAAGGAGAGTAAACAATAAAATAAATACCATTAAGAAGGCAGTTTGGGGTTCAGTTCTTTCCCAGGCTGTGGGGATTTTTCAGATGGAAGGAAGGCCAAGTGAAGTGGGGTAGCTCTCCTGGAGGCCTGAGCTGCCGAGATATCATCACTTACCCTCCATCACACAGAATCAATGAAAGGAATTTAGGAGTTACCTTAGCCCGTTGTCAGTTCACTTGCCTGCCCATTAGAATCACCTGAGGAACTTATAAAATACCAGCTTCTTGATCTCTCTGCTAGAGAGTTTGATCCACCAGATCAGAGATAGGCACCCAGAAATCAATATTTTTAAAAAGCCCTTCTAGGGATTCTCAGCGGTGCTTGGCCAGGTTGAAGAAGAACTGCTCAGGACCAGATTCCCACTTAACACAGAAATCTCAACAGCACCTCCACCCATGGTCACGTAGCCTCCGCTTGACATCTGTCAGAATGAGAATCTCAAAACCTTCTGTTGTTGTCTACAGAGTTTTAATGAAAGAGCCCAATCTAATGTTAACACAAAGTTCACCTTCTTGTAATTTTCACCTTTTGATTCTAATCTGCCTGAACACTTCTCAAGGAAAATGACCTTCGCCTTCTTCTGTGTGACAGCCCTTCCCCTTGTTTGCAATGAGTTATATATGCCTGATCTCCTTCACCCACACATTCAAGATGAATAGGGCATGGTTTCTGGATGCTCTGTCCTCCCGGTTGGGTACCCTGCTCCAGAAGGGATCCCAGTGGAGCTATTGGTGCCCATGGCCAAAGACATTATGCCAAATGTGGAGCAGGTAGCATGATGCAAAGAGTAGTATCATTTCCTAAACCTAGAATCTATACCACTTGTAATGGCCCAGTTTTAAATTACATCAGCTTTGTCTTTTGTAGCTACATCACACTTTGGATTCATTTTAAGTTTATGATCTTTGCTGCCACGTTAACTTTCCCTTTGTGTACTTATAGAAGTGTCCCCCGCCCCAATCTCCATGCACAACTTTACATTTATCCCTATTAAATTCCCACTGAGCAGTGCACAGAGCATATGGATAGAGAATTTCCATATCTGATGTTAGTCCTTATACGAGAAATCCTCCTTTCCACCTGGGTATCCTGACATCCTTGTACCATATTAGCTTATCCCCAAACCTGAGCGGGAATAAGTGGACCCAATGAAAAAGGTATACTCAGTAGCAGCAAAAAATGGCAATCTACCCTTATCTGGGAGGTTGAAGGAATACACATAGCATGGCCAAGAGACACGTGGCAATAAAACCCCCAAATTCCATTTATAAATTGTTTCATAACAACTTAATTTAGCAGGCTTGCTGAGACTACCACAATCAGAAACACACACCATTTTAAAGGACACTTTATTTCAAAATCTCATGGTATAAAATGACCTCATTCTCGTCCATCCCCTTAACCTCATTCAAAAAAAAAATGACGTCACACTTATCCGAGCGAGAAAGCTCTCTTACCGTGTACTTCAAGATCGAATGAACAGCTGTCAAACTTATCCTTATAGGTGACCTCACATCTGTAGTTCCCTCCGTAGTTCTCTTTGGCCTTGATGATCTGCATCTCAAATGTGTACACCTGCAAAGAAATGCATCGGGATACATTGCAGCCCGACCTTGCCGACAAGAGACTCCATCACACTTCAGTTATTTTCCAAATTCCTCAGCATTGTCTTAAAGGCATGTCTGTATCTGGGGAGTCTAGTAGCATGTTCTCAATAGAAGAGGGGTTAATGTGCCCCACAGCCCCGCAGGCACAGCAGGGCAACCACGCTAGATTGTAGACACTAGGAATGGTAACTCCAGAGAATGTTCTGGAACTGAAACTTCTCAAAGCTGAACCTGAAAATGACCTTTTACCTACACAGAAGGGATGAGCTAGCTAAGTCCCTGTGCTGGGAGTTCAGGGCCATACCCGACTTTGCCTTTCGAAGGTTTCCTTCAGCTGGAGGTGCTTCCCAGCTTTGCTGGCCAGGTCCATCCATTTCCCTTTGAACCATTTGACAGTGGGTTTTCTAAGAAGATCTTCAGCCTTGACTTTGGCTATAAAGCTGATATTTTCACCTAGAAAAAGCACAAGTGATTCAGACTATGTTTTAAAAATTGTCTTTTGTTTTGCTCTCAACTGGAAAGAGTTACACAGGACTGCACTGCACATCTTATGATGTGACTGGTGACCCTGGAATTGGGCAATGAAATGGCCCTGATTTTTTATTTTTTATTTTTTTTTTTTTAGTAGGGAAGGTCTTAGGATACTCTGTGTTTATGGAGCAAAAAAGGAGCTATGGGTTAATCAGTAGAAATAATTTTTGTTTAGTTTTATATTATATGAAATAAAAATGGAAAACCCCACAAATTATATATATATAAATAATAGAAATGTTTTCAAATCTTTTTTATTAGACAAGTGATGGGAAGTCTGGAATTATAGGATTAAGACTAAATGAAACTGATATTTTTTAAATAAACCTGCCAATCTATTTGAATCGACTGATCCCTGCCTAGATCCTAAGGACATCAAAACTCTAGCCTGGAGCCAGCCTGGGATCTTGATGTCTTCCCAAAACACGGGGCGAGCAAACCTTTCCACTCACAGGCAGGGTGCTTCTACATTCTAGACCTGAAAGAATATAGTCAGCCATGTGTTCATGCGCATAATATTTGGTTATGTGTCAAAGACTACTTCTGATCCCAATATGTTCCTCATAAAAATGTATTTAGTTAAAATTCTTGGATGCCCAAGTTGTTCTTTAACTCACTCTGCTGTTTATTTCTTTCACAGCATTTGGCTTTTGTGATTCTCTCTCCGTTTAATTTCTTGTTGTCTGCTCATCCCATTTAAACTGTTAAGTTCTGAGGGCTCCCATGTAATACTCAGGGTTCAGAACAGTGTTTGAACAGGAGGTGTGTTATCGGTAGCTTGGAACGCATATTCCCAGAGTTGAACCATCTGATGGCCTAGCTTCCTCTGAGATACTACACATTATGATCCAATGTGTGTGGAGATTTGTAATCATTTTATGGGATGTGAGGTGTAGCGTAATGACAGCAAACAATGGCTCAGGGCTCTAAGACATGCCAGGCACTGTTCAAATTCCTTCACATGTAGTGAGTGTTAGTTCTATTTGACGGATGAGGAGGCTTATCTGAACCCAACTCCAGGGTCCAGGCACTCGACAACTACATGCTAAAGTGTACTGAAATGATAGCTTTCACCCAATTTTTCAGGTTATATAAGCAGGATTTAATATAGACATATAATGGAATGTTATACAGCCACAAAAGGGAAGGGAAGTACTGATGATTCATGCTACAACTTGGATGGACGTCAAAAACATCATGCTCAGTGAAAGAAGCCAGACACAAAAGGTCACATAGTGTGTGATTCTATTTATATGAAATATACAGAATAGGGACATTTATAGAGACAAAGCAGATTAGTGGTTGCCAGAGGCTGAGGGGAAGAAAAATGGGGGGGTCACTGTTTAATGGGGGGTACATGGTTTCTGTTTGGGGTGACGAAAATGTTTTGCAACTAATAGATAGAGGTAGTAGCTGCACAACACTGAGTGTACTAGTAGCCACTGGCTGTTCATTTTTAAATAGTTAAGTTTGTTATGTGAATTTTACCTGCATTTTTTTTATAAAAAAAGCAGGATTTAACGCTTGGCACTCACCAACTTTCACTCTTCCTGTTTGAGGCTTCTCCACGAACAGGGTGGACAGCTGAGAATTCGCATTCTGCTTTTCTTGATCCTCTGTGGCAGGTGACTCGCCAAGAGACCATTCTGATGAGCAGAAAGGAGGAAAAGGGTCATTTCAGGGCTCAATTCTTCATAGGCAGACTTACCTGGATTTCTCATTCTCATCAACGCTGAAGCTTTTCTTTGTCTAAAAAACTTGGATAAATGTAACATCATTCTTGCCATCCATCTCCCCTGCAACCATCAGTAGAGAGTGACAGATTCCCATTGTTACAGGGTTCTCTTCCATGATGGGATAAAGGAATATTTTCTAATTTCTAGAAATAGTAAATCTTTTCAGGTCGGTTGTTACTCTGTCCTTGTTGGAGCCGTGGTTCCTTTATGTCCCCATCCTACCCGTCTCCTAACAGATAGTAATGGTGGGAAGTAAATTAAAGTAGTACTCTCAGTATTTTTCCAGGTGACTGGCTCCAAGGCCATATCTATACAACAACAGAATTGGATGGGTCAGTTTGTAGGTCAACCAGGAAAGGTCAGACAACCAAGCCTGTCCTGGTATTTCTAAATTCCTTGCTATTGTATAATTAGACAATTCTATTAAGGTTGTATAGATGTGGCCATAGTTTGACAATTGAATAACAGAGCATGACCTGCAGGTACAAATTTCAAAAATACTAGGAGCGTCCTGAAAGGGGGAAAAAAACAGAAAAACTGAAAGAAAAAAAACTCTTTGAGGCTTTCCCATGAAGAGAGAGAACCTGGAAATAAAGTTTGTTTTGCATCTCCTACTTTGCACTCTAGGTGCTTGGCTTGGTTTAATCATCAGTCAGCTCCAGTGAGGAAGATAGAGAGAGAACTGCAGCTATTCCTTCTGTCTCTGAGAGCTGAATTCAGAGAAGTTCAGTTTCAGCTGCTTAATAAATGGGGAAAAAAAATGCGTGGGTTGCCAACTCTACCTGTTAATGTTTCTTGAAAAGAAGAAAATGTAGATTTAGTTATTTTAGTCATCATGTATCAATCATGCTTAGTATTTCTATCCACAGGAGACCATCATTTTCACAATGAAGTTATGCAATGTAGTCATGATTACACAATTTTTTCACATAAGGAAGTTGATGTTAAAATTTTATGTTGTGTGTGTCTGTGATATTAATAACAATAGTGAATAGTGGCCATTCACATCTGGAACATGAGGGTAGGAATTTTTATTGTTTTGTTCATTTCTATACTTACAAATGCCTGCAAAAGTGCTTGGCCCATCAGAGGCCCATAGTAGGACCATAGTAGGCCTTCAACTCAAATTTGTTGAATGACTAAATAACCTCACAGAATTGTAGCAAAGCTGGCAGGATGTATTTGTAGGTATCTTATCAACTGTATGTAAAGTTCTATAAAAAAAAAAGTGTGAATTATCATCTAACTCCAGCACACCCCAGAATGGAGATTTTAAAAGTTTCTTAATCTCTGTGTATTTGTCAAATGTTAAAGATGATAGTTATAATACAATGAACAAACTTCTGGTATATGTAGCTAGATTCCTGAATTTCTGTGTGCGTATCATGCAAAATTAATTGTTTCTCAACACATTAGTTTTCTTGTAAAAGGTAATTTAATGAGAGATTGCTTTGCGAGCTACAAACTGGAAAAAAAAACCAAAAAAACAAAGATTAGAATCAATAGAACTTCAAGAAATGAGGTCATTAGTGATTGATTATATTAGGATGAGGTGGGGACACCTTGCTCCAGGCATGTGCTCACCTGAATCTTTTCTTTCCAGGGCCCGACTACACAAACCTGAAAGGAAAGTGTGATTTGGATCATGCAAAGGGAACGGGGTGAACATGGAGTGCTGACTTTAACCTTCTTGGTTCCCCCTCAACCCTCTTCTGATGACGGGGAGAAAGAAACTAGAAGTTGTCTCGGATGGAAAAATCAGTAGAGCTTCAACTATGAAAACATCTCTAAAACTATGTCTTATTTAAAAAGTGATAATAAACTCAGAAACCTTAATACTTAAAGAACAGGGGAAAAGTGTACCTAGTTGCAAATGGAAGGCAGACATTTTTGTCCCTAAAATTTATACCCAAGACTTAAGAGTCTTATTTATTTCATAAAGGAAGGCTCTTTTAAAAAATTTTTCTCATATAAAACCAAAAATTTTCACTGAAGCCAACATTTTCCCTCTTGGGGCTGACACGGGCAAAACCTGGTGCTTCTGCCCTGCACATTGTCTCAGCAGCGGGCTCCGCCTTTTCTTCCCTTTACTGTCAATTACTAATAAATTACAAAGTGGGGGAAAGAAAGGGTTGGATTCATCCTAACCTGGAGGCAGGGCATTAGGCGGGAAGACTTCCTCTTCATCTGAAACAAGAAATAGGTGTACAAAATCAAGGAGAAAAGGACTTCGTCATGAGTATCCTGAGAAAAGAGAAATCTGAAAAAGAAAAGGAGAAACTACACAAAACACTTTTAGCTGATGAGTAAGCCTTAGAAGACTTGGTACCTGAAAGATTAAATTTGAGTATTCCAGGCAAAAAGAGAAGAAAATAAATGCAAAGGTGAGAGAGTAAGGTAATCCAAATGAAAGTGTAAATTAATCATTGGAACTCTATGCAAACGTTTTACGTGATTATAGATTAGGAAAATAATTAATGCTAAAAAAAAAATCAAACCTTGACGAAATCAACAACAGAAGTGATTTTCAAGTTCTCATTTTATAACTAAAGTCAACGACAGGCATAATTCATATACCATAATCACTTCGACACAAACAAAAGCATATATGTACTATCTGAGAAATTATTACCCCCACCCCGAAAACCTCATGATTAATTGCCCTTCTATGTTTAAGAAACAAAAGTCAACATTAACTAATATAAATCAATTTTTCATACTTACTAAATTCACCAATGATTATTGTAGAAACTCTATAAGCATTTCCCCGAGATGATATTGGTGTTGGCCAATGCTATATAATTTTAAAAATATTTATCCACACACATTTGTACAAATCAAAATATGCCTTGGGGCGTTTATGTGCAAGACACTGAATATTCCCTTTTTCTAAAACGTCTGAATTTTAAAATGTCTTTACTTTTTAGATGCTTAAATAGATATTTGATGTTATCTGAACTGCAGCCCCTCTCCTCCCAAAGCCTGAAGACTAGCAAAAGTGTAAATAATAATAATCTTTGTATTTGTGAATGTCAAAATATGAACTTATATGACTATTAAAATAGGATACAGCGAACACATGCACATGGGAAAAAGAAGAGTTAAAATAGCACATTTTCGTATAATCTATTAGAATACTTGCTACAAATATTATTTATTAGCCTGTCAACCAGGGATATGTTTTAGTATTTTTTTAACAAAATAACTGAAGTAATATAGAACCTAAATAAAGTAATAGAGAACCTAATTTGTAGCTTCAGAATCTAAGAGGTGATTCACTGGATACTGCAAGAGTCAGGATTATTCAGAGGAAGATTTCTGTAGTCCAAGAAGCTTGGAGGATGTCAGGCTAGATAAAGTTAAATGCTTGTATTTTATTGTATTGTGTGTGAGTGTTTACTGAGGGACATCTCACAGCCTTCAGTGTGCTAATATGCACTTGCATGGTGGGAGTAGAGACAAGACATGATACAGCAGCTAGCATTCCCCAAACTTCGTTCACTTTTAAATCATTTTCTCCCGGAATATCCATTAACATTCCACAAAATGGTGCATTTGGGGAAGTATAGGTATTTCTGAACTATCAGCAGAATTCTACTCAGAAGACTGTTAGGTAATTAAATTTTACATAATGAAAAATAAAATACTTTGCAAGTTTAAAGTATTATTTGCCATAAATTTAATTCAATGTCAGTGTTTTATTTTTTAACCTATTTGAAGACTTTTATTTACTGAAATATGTAAAGAATCTTGATTTAAAGTCCTGTAAAATTCTTGAAAATGAAGTTTTAAAACTCAACCAAATCGTAGAAAGGGACTTCCTTTATTACATAGAAACTAGAACCATTTTGAGTCAAATGAACACTTTATTTTATATAGGTTTTGTGGTTGTTTGTATGCTTTGTGCACAGGGCATAATGAATCTTTGAGTTAATTGTTTAGAATGCTAAATGATTGAGAAAAAAGTATTGACATACTTTTATAAAACTAAAATAAAAAGATAATCTACTTTTTTAAGCAAAAATTTGATGAGTAATTTCAGTGTCCAGTAAATGTTAAGACTATCTGGGGGGACATGCACAATTATTTTAGACTATTAAGGCACCACATATTAAAATAGTGCTTCAAAGGGTCATGAAGTGATCTAGATAATCCAACAATACTTCCAAACAGCTATTACTTCTCAATTGGTAATATTTTAGTCCTTGTACATACATTTTCAAATTTACTGAATGCTAGAAAATATAATTGACAAGCTTACTGTTTCCTTCTTTTAAAAGTAGCTTTGGTCCTGGCAGCCCTTTAGATTAGGAAATGAAGTTAAGAAGAGATCCTGACCTGAAATTCTTGAAAAACTGCCTGGTTAAATTTGGTTGAATTGGATAAGAATGCAAGTTTTCATTATTTTTCTTTTGTTTGTTTGTTTTTACATTTAAGTCTTTTATTTCTAGAAAGTTTTCTTGTATTATAGTTTTTTGTTTTTTAGTTTCAGGTGTACAAAACAATATAATAGACAATCACACCCCTCACAAAGTGGTAACTCCCCCTCCCCCAATCTACTACGGGCTCTGACATCGTATACAGCTGTTATAATTCCATTGACTCTATTCCCTACGCTGTATTTCCACATCCTGTGACTATACATCTATTTAATTATAGTTGTCATTCGATATTATTCAGCTTCAGCTTCAGGTGTACAGCTCAGTGGTCAGGCATCTACACCGTCCATGAAATGGTCTCCCTAGTAAAACAAGCACCCATCATTGTTTTTCTTTACCATGGAAAAACGGGTTCTACTGTTAGAAGGGAAATTGAATATGCAACTTTTTTGGGTTGTGTCTAATTCAGCAACACATATGAAAGGCATGGCATCGTACAAAAAACACTTCCAAAGAAAACAAAACAAAAAATACAATATGTAAGTTATATTTTCTGTTTAAAGGTGACTACAATGATGATAAAAACACACACATTTGTTTTTGGCTCTTTAGAATACAGCGTACATGAAGAAGACACGGACCCAGAACAGCTACATAGAAGGGAAATTTACCAAAACAGAAGTTTATTTGCCATTAAGTCATGGGAAAGTAGCATTTGTAAAACCATAAAAATGATTCTTTAAACAACTGATGTTCCCAGAGAACAATGTCTGGAAAGTAGAGAAAGAACTTGGAGTCATATTACAAGCCTGAGATTTAAGGGGGTACATATGAAACCTGAAGTTCGAAGGAGAGACCTCCAGACATAGTAGAATGTGTACATTCTTAGAATTCTCCACACTCAAGCATAAAATCACTTCTACCTATGGTTGATTTAAATTGCATTTTAAATTAATTTTTAAAGTAAAACAAACTTGGGATTATTGTTGGGATTTTTAGAATAAAGACTAAAAAGTATATAAAATTAAAATCTATGTGACTGTTAACAAGCCTCAGTTAAATGCTTTGATTTAGATAAATTTATGAATTCCTCAAGCAGAGTCATCAGCTGTAGTAGTTATGGGCATACGTGACCAACAATAATAACATCAACAACCATCACCACATGGGAAAGACAATAACATCAACAGCTAACATTAATTCACCATGTTTTGAGGCATTTGATTATCACATTTTCTTAATGAGAAGACACATGCCTTCACACTTCGATGCTTTTGAAATCAGGATTCATCTTACAAGAAATATATATATTTCATGAATTTTTTCTCCTCCAAATCTATTCAATCAATGTTGTATCTTATAATAGTTTTGTCTTAAAATTGAAAAGTATGGTGATATTAATTTTTAAGAAAGCTCGTTACAAAGAAATATATAATTAGAATATATAGATAAAGCACAGAGACATTTTAGTAGATGGCTGTCTGATATCTAAAGGTAAAACTGCGCAAAAACATTTTAGCATGCTAGTAAGGAGTACCAAGATAATGTTATTGCAGACGTAAAGGGACCTAAAAAAAAAAACCAAATTTTTAATCATCCTTTTAATTAAAAAAAAATCATATTATTTAGGAGAAATTTGCTGGAACTTCTGCTGATTCACTTCCTCCTCTGCCAACCACACTCACACCAAAAGAAAAAAGCTTCATCTCAAGTTATGTGAGATCTTTAACATGCACAGGGTTCATTTGTAACAGTTTATGTGGTAATGTTAATGCCTGGAAAAAGAAAATTTTACTTCTTTTGCCACGATTACCAAAAGCAGTTATTTTTCTGGAAGAAAAACAAAAAGAGGCAGTAACTATCCCGACCAAGTTTACCAAAAAATATACAGACCATAAGCAAATAAGATGAAAACATAACAATTAAAAAATATGCATCAGAACTTAGGCATTGAAATGAATACTGATCTTCAAAGCAGTCTCTAATTCTAAGGCTGCTGGCACATTTGCAGCCACTCACAGGACCAGTTTTGAAACTTCCCACAAGGCCAATTGTTGAGGCACAGGAGACACTCAGTCTCCTGGCTCTGTGTGCACACATACAGTGTGGGTTGACCAAAAAAAGTATGATCCCACTTGAGCACCCACATTATTCTCTACACATGGCCCTCTGTGGCCATTGTCTGCTTCCAAAGCTGAAATCCACTGTCCTCTGTTGATGGTCATTCTCCTCTCTCTAAAGCTCCCTAAACTCGGCTCCAGGAGGGAAGACCCAGTGCCTGACTCTCTCCTGGCACATAGCTGCCTTTCAAAACTTGCTGAATAAATGAACATTAGGATAAAAGGCAGATCTTTGGCCCCACTGAGGGTATACAAAAGAATCTATATTTTGCATTTTCTTGATTTGCCACCTGTCATTATTCTGGGAAAATTCTAAGCCATGGTAGCATTGTTTTTATAAGGACAGTGCCTCCCAGCATGATCTGAAAGGGATTTGCACATCTCGATTCTGGCATTGCTGTTTGGTTAAACACGTCTTTTTATTGTCATCTCTATTGTTTCAATTCCAGGACAAAGTGGGCAGTATTAAGGAACAGGATAGCTGGATGGACAAGTCCAGAGGCAAACAAACAAGCAAACCAACAAATAGTAAAACCCCTTCCTGGGAAATCAGCTGTTTCCCAGACAGAGACTCTTAGTAAATCTGAAAAGTAGGCAACTGTACCCACAAGAAGTATGTGTAAGATTGATATCAGAACCAAGCAACATTCCGTGGCTAAAAAAAACAATTTTAGAACAGTTCCAGGCTGTCACAGAATGATTCAGGCAATCTAGGAGTGATATTAAGGCTGCGCTGCTATGAGAAGCATTCTTCATAGTGACAATTTTGGAGATATTCATTGAATATACTTCAACCAATGAGATATGGGACTAAAGTGTGAACATGTACTACTACTATCCAGGCATGGCCATTTTCAATTTTTTTCCCCCGCTTTTTCAAGAAGAGAAGTGTCTCACTTTATTTCATTTTCAATTTTTTAAGTGAGTTGGTCTTACATCATCCATCTGTTCTGAGGGTGAGCACCTAATGCACAGCGTCAGTGTGTCATTCTGAACCTCATTGGTTAAGAGTTTGCACAGAACACTCACCCTCCTGCCCAGCAAGTGGAAATGAAAATCTACCTAGATTACCATTCTCTGTATGATCAGCATCTAAACCAGCGTGGAAATTCAATTGTTCATTCATTCTACAGGTATTTATTAGGAAATCGCCTTGCACAGCTCTCTGCCAGACACTGGAAAAAATGAGATGAGGGGCCCAAAGGGGTCTTAAGACATGGTGCCTGACTGTCAAAAAGCTTACAGCCTGTTAGGGAAAGGAGTGAATTATTAATACACAATTTAGTGGAGAAAAGAGTGACTGAACAATAAGTCCAAGAGAAATCAGGAGGAGGAAGGGGAGATGAAAGTCAAGAGAAACCTGGATAAAGGAATGAAACCTGAGCTGAATGGTTATAAAAAACAATTGGATGGACTGAGGGTTGGGAGAAGGTGAAGGGCAGAGAAGGACATTGTAGCCAATCCCGGAGAAAGGTCTGTTGCACCTGTCAATCTTGTTTATGCTCATGCAATTCTTCTTCCTCAACCATGGCCATGCATACAGCAATTTTTATTGTGTCTTTTTTGTTGTTGTTGAAATTTTCCTGTCCTTTTTGAAAGTGGGTAATCGTTGAAAGGTTTGTATATTTAGAAATAACTTCCATTTACCCACCTTCTTTATTTAGGGATGTCACCTTTTATCCTAAATTGATTTTCTTCCTAGGCAAATATATACATTACAGTTTATGTAGCTGGATATGTGATTACATGTGGCTCTGGCCTTGCTTAACTTTCACAAATGTCAGAAAAAACATGCTACTAATTTCAGAATACCCTCCCTAGTCATTTGGCCTTGCTTTTTCATCCAACTGTGTTCTGCATAAAGAGAAGAGTTATTATTAATTGGTTGACTGGTTTACTGGTTGGTTGGTTGGGTGGGTGGGTGGTTGGGTGGTTGATTGTAATATATGGAAAGACATTTTCTCATTTACGCACGCAAATATAATATGATGACTTTTCAGATTAAGGGTCAGACACAGGCTTTGTTTAAAATTTGACAGCATGCCCTCTGGGATTACATCATCTGCTGTGTTGGTTGAGCCTTACAGCCTGGCCCAAAGACCTTTCCAAATTTGGAAACAGATGTGTATGCCATTGGCCTTGAAGAGAATAATGTTACAGTAATTTCAGCCAGGATATCCAGACATCCTTGAACCCATCTCATGGAAGGAGTTCTAGGAGTTTGCACTGTCTGCATTCCAAAAGCAGATAGCCTTCAGACCGTGGCTCACGTGGCCAGGATTAGTGTTCAGGATATTATCGAAGGGAACCACTGAAGGTCAAGGACAAAGTCAGTGTACTAATATTATGTGTTCATTTATGAGTGTGTCAATAAAAGTTAGCTGAAGGAAAGTGGTCCAATGTACTGAAAGAAAGAAAAAAAGTATTTTACTAATGTATAGGAGTTGATAATGTCAGAGTCTTTGATATATGAAACATGACATAGTAAGAACAAAGAGATACTCAACATACTTTTGGGTTGTGTCCAGCAAAAAAAAAAAAAAGTCTTATTGTAGTCAGGAAATGATTGGTTATTCTAAAATTTGACCTATGTTTTTCATTACACAAATAAAAAATGAGCATATAAATGATGATACAAATGTATAAAGCAGATTCTCAAATCTGCCTCTGTGAAAACTTTCTTCTGTAAAAGACGAATGTTCCTTAGCTTAGGGACACATGGTCAAAAATGACAATGACAACCTTCATGGAGGGATAAAGGAATTTATCAGGAATCCACATGATAAAGATCACCCATTTTTTAAAACTGGACTCTCTCCATATAAAGCAAAAACAGAATAATATTGCAGGAATAAATGTTTGCAAATCAATAAGGAGCAACACGATGTTTGCTTGAGGTTGTCTTGTCCAGCTACATAAATCATTATATGTAAGTCTACAGGAACACATAGTCAGTGTTACAAAATAAGATGCTGGCCTTCAGAATTACTAGTGAAACCTGGAACAGCTCACACAGTAACATGAAAAACGTTCAATTAAAGAAAAACGTGAGCAACCCAGATAACTTTCCAAATTGGCATAATCCCAAAAGATCGGACGCCTCTTTCCCTTCACATGCACATTAGAAGTTGGAAACCAGCAATTAATTTGCTAGCATCTCAATTGTGCTTGTGATATGTTTATTATTTTTGCTTTTCTTTTAGACATGTGTGTAATAAAAACTAATCAAACCATCATTTGTCATTATGTTGATTGGGTTGTACAGATAAGATGCAAACAAGAAACGCTTAACCACACAGATGAAACAGAAATTCCATGGAGCCACCATGGTAATCATTACTGACCTTTCTGCTTCTAATTTTGTTGAATTCAGCCTCATTCTCCCTCCCTCCACTCACCTTTGGGTGGTGCAGTTCCAGCTTCCTTCTCTTTGTTTGGCTCTGTGTGGAAAGTACAAGCACATTTTTAACAGTGTCTTAAGGAAAGCATTTCATTGTGCGCTGCGCAATGGGTTAGGAGGCAGGGTGGGCCGGGAGAAATAAATGACAACAGACAGATCATCAATGATAATCATACTCATTTATTATGCTGTATATGAATGATAAATTTGGGAGTTATAATGTAGAGCTGCATGAAACTTTTAATAAAAGAAACTAATCCGATCACTTTTGAAAAAATTATACATAGAAACATGCAATACAGATTTTGTTAAAATACACTTAGCTGCTGTTATAACATGCAGGTTCATGTTATAAATAATATGCTGGCATGGAAGTGAGTATAAAATGTGGGTCATTTCCTTGTAGACCTCAACAAGAGACTGACTTTTTTAAGGAAGTTTGAGCCATGTAATGGTTCTAATCGTTTGAACTTCTAAATAATATTATAGTAAGGAACCAGGGTACAAAATCTGTGATTATACAATAGTTTTACTATATTTCAAAATACTTTGGTGCACATATTAATTTTCTTAGGTTAGGTTAGGTTGAGTGGCAATAAATGCAATACAAGAGCAGCAAAATCAGATTTTATTAGTTGAGACCATCCAGTTTGCATTTCTCTCTGTTCAGAATCACATTCATTTAGATACCTGTAAATGGTGTGTGACTTGTGGTCTATATAAGAAAAGAATTGTTTCAAGCATGAATTCCCTCTTTTTTTGATTGACTAGAGACCTGAATCTTAATTAATAAAGACGGTTTTAACAGAGTTTGGGAGGAGACTTGCTTGAGCAACAGGAAGTCAGTATTGAGCAATGAATATGAAATATGGCATAATAAGGGAACTCTGTAGTGGCCCAGTGACAGCTACTGATTGGAAGAACAGAGGGGAATGGTTATGTCTGTAATGGTCTGTAGGTTCTCAGTGCACACAATGTTGGCAAAAATAAATCTGTATATGCAAGAAGGAAACATACCAAAGAAGAAGTTCCTAAGAAGAATGTCACACATTTATACTGGTTGAAAAAAAAGCTAAACTTGAGCTTGCCCCTGTTTAAACTCATGTGGCACTGAGCTTGTTTCATTCATTTTGACACACAGCAATACTCTTCTATACTACTTCAGGGTTTTGAGTGTGTGATCTAGTGTTCTTAGCTGGACAAAGGGGCCCCTGTGAGCAGTTAGATTTCTCAAACTGCCCTCCTGAAAATGATCTCTCTGGTGGAAGAGTCTCATAAGCCCTTTCTAAATTTCCATGCAAAAAGATCACCAGCAACTGAGACCTTATTCAGTTACTGCTCTCGGCCAGGCTGGATTGGTCTGTAGGCCCCTTGTCTTCATGCTGCATTGTCAATTCAGGTAACATGCTTTAAGTCACCTACTGCCTTGCAAGGCTTTTAGAGTTTTGCCTCATGTTTCAACATAGTGGTTGTATTTTATTTAATTGTTCTCTGGCCTGTATTTTACTTTCTACTTGGCTATAAGTAAACTGAACACAGGGAAATGTTTTCTACTTAGAGTTGTCCACTACATTTAGTACAGTATGTTTGCACCTAGTTATCAATAAGTATTGGGTCGATAGCTCTGTATCCTTCTGAAGGGTTCGGGCAGAGTCATGTGAATGGTAAATACCCTGTGAATAATTCTTGAGTGAATACCAGCTTCTCACCCTGTTCAAGGAGGAAGAGTGATGAGAGAGGGTACTTTGGTGTTTTCATTGGAAAATACACATACTTTTGGTTGCCACCATCTTTGGGGCTATTTGACTAGATAGACATAATTCTGGAGATCCCCTGTTGAGGGTTAACATTCCACTTGGGCTTGTCATTTCTTTTAATCCTGTTCTCTTCCATAAAACTATGTAGGTGTAAAAGCAGGCGTCACCTGCTGTGTGTCGCTAGGCACTGCTTCTACCTGTCAGGGAGTTAGTTCACTGGAACTGTTTGTTACTTCTTGTTTATTTTGTTGTTGTTGTTGCCACCTGGTGGACAACAGGGTACTAAGAACTGGAGAAGCTGCTTCTGATGTTGAGCCTCCAAGGCCACCAAAGCTTTCTGGAAACTCGATGAGGCATTTCTGGAGGTACTTGATGGTGGCATAATTCAAGTCTAGAAGGGGCTGCTGATCTTCCGGGACTGAGGTGGGATTCACCACCCCCACTCTCACAAGACAGATGTGGGTTTCGTTTGCCCCTAGCTACATGTGAAAAATCACTGCAAATCCTCAGACCCTTGAAGGTTCAGCCTCCACAACACAAAAACATGGGCATAACTACAACTTTTGGGTTTTATAAGTATATGATGTGTCATCCAAATTAGATTAATATGAGAGGGTTATATAAGCACAATGTGTTATTGTTGTTGTTGTTTATTATAAACCTATCACAACTGTGGTCAACCAACTTCTTCATAGGAGTTAGACTAAAGCTCACAGTTCAATGAAGGCCAAATCATGCTGGGATAGACATTCTGTATTTACAGTCCAAAACATGTGAGATAGTGTTTCCACTTACCTTCTGGGGGTGGGGCTGGGGCTGGGGTCGGGACTTCATTTTCTAGAAATGAAAACAGTAATGGAAGAGTTAGGCTCACGTATCACAGAGAAAAGCTACTTTTCCACAGCACCAGGCTGCACTCAACTCCAGACAGCCATCTTACCTATACTGACAAGAAGGAGAAAGCAAGAAAAGCATCAACCTGTGGCATCAAGAGGCCCAAGACACACTGCCTTTTTGATGTATAGTGTGAGGTGAGGATCTAAATGGTATTATATAGATTTCCCAGAGGTGGCATAGTGTAGTGATGGACAGAGCACAGGTAAAATGGGGATCCAGGTGTCTTTGCCACTTAGTTAGTTATCCCTCAGGTAGGGCACTTAACAGCACTGAGCCTGTTTCTCTTCTCTGGAAAAATGGACACGACAACACCTATCTTATGTGCGCAGAGTTGCCGTGAGGATGAAATGAGACACAGCGCATGGCCAGCATGTCTCTTGGAACCTAAGGAGCTCACTTCCTGTAGAGTGTAAGGTGAGGTTAGTGCTCAGTAAATGCTTTCCCCAGAGAGCAAGGGCACCACAGGTCTGACATCATCCTGCGCTCATGAGACAGACTGTCTGAATGTTGATGAAACCAAAATCCTCTGACTTTGCAGTGTTTGCTTTTATCAGACAAACCACTGTTCACTGGGAAACAAAATCAACCCCTCTCACAGTGGTTTCTGGAAGTACCTACGCCTGCAAGAGATTTCCACCTACACTTACCCTAAGTTTTCAGAGCTCTGGTTTTGAGGTTTTATACCTGGCTTTGGATATCCAGAATTCTAGAGAAGTATGGTGGTAAAACCTGTGAAAGAATCTTCTGTTAAGAAATATACTATCTCCAAATAGCTAAAGGCATAACCCGTGACCAAAGGGCTTAGAATTTCCCCTGCTGAGTCCCCACAGATGCCCAGAACTGAGAATTAGTGACGTGTGTGAGAACCAGCTGCTCTACCCCAGGGCAGGAAGAGGCAGTTAATGAAGGTGATCTCTTTCAAAAGGATTTTCTGCTTGACAGTTAAATACCAAAGAGAAGTTTTTGTATTGTACGTACTTTGTAGGATCCCAGGAGCTTTATCTTTGTCTGGATCTAGGATTTTCCACATTTTTTCCCCTAAGTGGCTCTTTCCAAGCCAAGAGGACAATCAATACCTCACAACAAGCAGTGTGGCCCAAGAGTCACCACTACGTGCAGGCCAAGCGCCCTATTTCAGACTGGGCAGCCAGCGGTGAGCATAGAAGAAGGGATGGATTGCGTGGCAACAGAAATCAAGAAAGGAGCAAGGCAGAACTGCCAGGACATAGCAACATCTCCTTCTATCACTAACTTTTTGTGCGAGGTATAAACTCCCATTTATTGTTTAAAAAAGAACCAACTATTTTCATTCAGATGAACATCAATAAGTATATTACTATTTACTAATGAGGGATAAAAAATATGACTGAAGGAGGGGGTGCATATAACCTTTCAGAGTGACAGACGACGTGATGTGATGTGGTTTAAAGATACAGTGAAAGACAAATGTTCCTTAGATGGCATTGAGAGGAAAGCTTACGTTTCTTCGCCATGTCATGGAAAGGCTCTTTAGTGCCAGCGTCAACCAGAAGACAAAGCACTAGGTCAAGGCATTTTATTTTCAGAGACCTGAGTGCAGAGATGGAAATCTAATGTTGACCTCTTGGCTTTGGGTAAATTGTTGCAACACACAGATATCAGAATGCTGAGAGGGAGTAGCCAATTTCTTTGACGTGTTATCTTTTGGACTGTTGTCCATTGTCTGAGGACCTCTTCTGGCTCTCTCGACAGACAAGTTTCTCTGCCCTTCAGCCTCTTTTTGTTCCAGAGATTACTTATGCCACACGTGGGTTTCATCCTGTTATTCTACACGAGAAGGTACCCGTTACCTAGTTGGTTAGGCCTACACTCTTCAGGCTAGCATTCAAAGTCATTGTCGACAGGCACTTCCTACCAGTGGGCCCTCTGTTCTACAGCTGATGTCTCTTTTTAACCTTCTGACCTTCCTGCCACTGAGAAGAGCCATGATCTTCTCCCCAACAGGCCTTTTATTTGTTTTTCTATATGTGATTCTGTCTAAACAGACCTAGGTCTGAATCCTGACCCTAACCTTTATTAGGGTCGGATGATTCTTAAATCTCTATCAGCCTGCTATCCTCATCTGTGAAATACGAATAATAAGATAAATGCCCTCTTAGGGTGCTAATCCTACATAAAAAGCCTAACATAGTTTTGGGCATGTAGATAGAGCTCTATAATTTACAGCAATAACCATTACTATTACTGTCCTTTGGCAATCTTTGTCTTTTTGATATTTCTCTTAAGATTCTCAGAACTAATTATTCTGTTCTCTTCCTCTCTCTTATTCTCTTGGCATTCTGGACCACATCATAATACACTCCTTTTTCACTAGCTATTTTAAAATTATTTTTCAGTTGTCTCAATATATCTGTGTTTCTTTTGCTTCCCAACTAAACCAGGACAGGGATCTTTCATTCCTTTCCCATGTCCCTGGTACCTCATTTTATTGCTGAAAACACATTAAATGCATAGTGAATTGATTTAAAAAAGAATTAAGAAAGTCTTCTTTGGTGATTGTGTTTGAACTACCAAATTGGCCATGCTTTCTCAGCATCTGTGTAAACAAAAGTCCATTATGTGAGGAAAGCCGGGGTTGCTTAAAATCCTGTTTTGGAAGTGAGGCCAAGGGTGAATTCTAATCAAATAAATAAAAAGAGAATCATCTTGGACGTTGAAACTATAAATGTACCCTGAATGTGGATTCTCCATCTCCATTGCGTCTCTAGCCCCAGGTTCTATGAAACAGCTTCCAAATCAAACTAAAGTGAGAGTTTAAAGGCCTTAATACAACTTCCAACAAATGCACAGACCATGGGTCATTGATAGCCAACTACATCAGTCAGAACTACAGAAACATGACAGGATATTAGTGCTGGTACATTTTTAGGATGGTTGCAGGAAATGAAAGTAGAAAAACGCATGCCTGCCTGGTAGGTAGGTGGAGCCAGAACTTTTCCTTCTTAAAATCATAGAAACCCCATTACTTTACAGCCAGTGAAGGAATAAATAAGTCACAACCACTTTTTGGCACCTACTGCATGCAGGACCTAGTATATATTCAACTCTTATAATCGTTACAACTCTGTGAAATCAGTGCTAGCATTATCCCCGTTTTGCAGATGGGAACTGAGGCCCTGCAAGCTTCCATAGCTCATGAGGGTGCAGCTAGGCTCTGGCCCAGGTCTGCCTAACTCAGAATTTGGGCTTTCCAGCCTGGGGCTGTGCTTCCCTTCTCAGCTGCTCATACTGGTAGAGACAGAAGTAAACTGATGGACTTTTCAGAGCGATTATTGCATTCCCCCACCCCCACCCCCACTGAATTGATTGGTGTTATTGTCACGGCCACACAGCCTCCTCTGGATGTTGCCCAGTCTGGAGTAGGGGAGTATGCCTTGAGTTCTTCATCTGTACGATGAAAATAACAGCACATCCTATCTCAGGGGTTCTTGGCAGAAATGAATGACTTTCTGTAGGGTCAGGATGCATAGTACACACTGTGTATTCCTTATCTCTTCATGGTTATCATCATATTTATCAGAATTTGGCTGTGCCACCCCCGTGAGAATGACACTCATCCTTCCACACATGCCACCTGCTAGGGATTGGCCTTATTTCAAGGTCTGTGGGCTGCATCAAGTTAAACCATATTTGGAATGGGGGTGGGAGATGAGGAAGCATCTGGGGACTGAACAGAAGAGGAAGCTTCTCACGCTCTTACTGTAAAATGGTAATAATAATTAATTTTGAGGAAACTTACATGTATTACATAGAATTCGTACAAGGTAGATAACTCGATCAATCAATCAATCCTTGTGGGACAGAAAGGGTAAGAAAGTGAACTCTCAATAGTTGTCAGGGCATTTGAAACAAAGAGAGAATTCCAGCTGGCCTAAACCTGGAGAGATGGGGAACCAGGAGTGGTGAGGACAAAGCAGCACATGACTTAGACTGAAAATAAACCCTAACAGGTAAGTCTCAGGGCCTCAAGGTATTCCCTTTTGCCTTAAAGGAACAGTTCACACATCTCTCTTACTTTAATTCACACCTTTGTCTCTGATTTTGCCCATAGCTTTGCTCACCTCTCTAAAAATCATTTGCATGTTCCCCAAATTCATTGGGTGCCTCTATAACAATAATTCATTTACAGCAACTTCCATAGTACCCCACTGAATAGGGATCATGAGAAGAAACACCCATGCAACCAAATTCATGAGCTCTCATTAGTATGAATTTAACAAGGATGGGGCATTGTAAAACTGGCTAAGATGAGATGGCTGTGTTTAAGAAGTTAAATGAACAGGTAAATGAACTGCCATTTTCTAAATGAACTGCCATTTTCTAAATGAACTGCCATTTTCTATCAGTTTAGTCACCAAATCAAGTAGTTTTGTTCTCTCCTAACATTTGAGACTCACCACTTCCACGGTCCCTCAAGTGCTTCTGAAACTGTCGTGTGCATACAGTTCATCTAGAGATTGGGTCAAGTGCAGATTCCCACTCTGGGGGTCTCCAGCAGGGTTCAAAATTCTGCATTTCTAGTAGGTTTTCAGGGGATGCTGGGGTTGCCAGTACCCAACGCACTGAGTAATAACAAGGCTCAGACTCTACCCTAAATATCACTGAGTCCTCTCCATTTCAAATGAGATCGTCAATGTTAAAGGGTTTACAGTAGAAGGGGAGCTTTCTTCTCTTTGATCACAAGCTTCTTGAGGACAAGGCCTGTCTCCTCCTTTTCAGATTCTACACAGCAGGTGCTCCATAAATATAGTTGACTGGCAGCCTGTTCCTACAAGCACAAAAGCTCCTTTTCCCTGCTGCCAAGAAATGAAGAACTGGCCCCTGGCACTCAAATGGCAGCTTTCTTCGTCTGCCTTACCCACAGGGAACACTATGTCTCCCATTGGTGACCCTTTTGCTGG